TTGTATGTACAGGTATATTATGTGCAAATTGAAATGTAGACTGAGTATGTGTGTTAGATAAATAAGTGTATGAGTGAATAAATAGTGTGTGTTCCACAGTTATTGTCAAGTGTTCATGAGATGGATGGCCTGAGGGAAGAAACTGTTCCTGTGTCTGGCCATTCTGGTGCTCAGAGCTCTGTAGCGTCGACCAGATAATTGAAGGTGATAATTGTGTTAAATACATTCTATTATTAATCCCTCATGACATTTAAAATTGAAAATATTTTTATTTTTTTAAAGCTAATAGCAGTTACCCTTGCTGGACCTGTTTTGTCCCACGTCTGAAGAATGACTGTTATGCAAAGACTCAAGTCAAACAGCAGAGGGCATGCATGAGCTTTGAACACCTCGTTGATACGCTGGTGGATGTCGCAAAGAAGAACTCTTATAAAAACCGTGCCACAACGTTAGTTCTCTCTCTTTGTTCAGCGAACTTTTGTGTGGTGGAAGTTGCAACATGTCCTCTTCAGAAAGTTGCTTTGTGATTGCAGGCGTGTAAGTGAGCTCTTCTTCGGTGTACTTCATCAGAACCTCAACAATCGCTAGAGAATACAATGATGAATATTGTTTTAGATTAGCACTGTAATAGTTCAAGTCTTTATTGCGTGCGATTACATTAAACTCCTAAATCTCCGGTTAGATTTTCGTTGGAGGGCTTAGAGTTGGGTTTACACGTGAACCGCATATGAACTTGTCTTTATTTTTGTAGAGTCTCCAGTCTACTTCACGATGGGAGTGCTGAAGCACGTGGCTTCGGATGATTTGCGCCATAGGCGTTTGTAGCCCACTTGTTGAACGTCTGTATTCGATGCATCAATTATAAATCGCAGTAAACGCGATGAAGAGTTCAGTTGGCGGTAAGTGAATTGAGCCTGGACAACACACTACTTGGTCTTATTGTAAGTTGCGTATGCAATGCGTTTTTGAAAGGAATACTGAGCCGCTGATGACTTCTAACACTTTTCTGACACCTCGTATGAACGCTGTGTTTCAGCAGCTGATTATAAAATCTAGTCTGAGGCTCTTTTGCTTTAATACATGCGGGTTTTGTGAATGGGGTTCTCCACGCTTATGAAAGTTTTACTTTTTATTTTTTTTTGCCTAGGAAGCTCTTGGAAATTTCGTTTAGTCTTCTATGTTTAGGGCCTAGTTGCATCCTGACCCATTGTTTGTCTTAGTGCATTAAAAAAAAAATACTAATGCTTCTATACTTTGAATATTACCATCTGATCTACAAATGTGAGTAAGGCCCCCTTCAGTATAAAGTCTAATTAGATGAGAGCATGGCTGCAACAGAAATGTAAATAAGTTAGTGGGAACTGACTTTTGTGGCATTTAATGTATGAAACTTGTTACTAATGTTGCTTGTTTCTATCAGATTTCACAGATGGTAAGAATGAAGTTCCCAACTGCAAAAATGTGGTGGCCTCCTAAGAGGTGAGACCCTTCATTTTCTACATTTCAAATTTTATGACTCTGATAATCCCATGTGCATGGAAGACTAACAGTGACTCCTCAGAGGAAGGTTGGAGTATTGAATTACATTTATAGTAGAACCGGTGTGCACTGCAGTGATGAGAAACTGTTGCTAAGCTGATCCATGGTTAATGGGCCTGATTGTAAACTCTCTCCCTGAGCTGTGCGGAACACCATACTAAAGTGCATCTCGTAACTGGTTAAGACTGCACAGCCAATCCAATGTATGCATTTATATGATGCACCTTTTACATCTTGGTCTTTATTTGCAGATGCGAGAAGACCGAAGTCCTTTTGGTGGTATACGTTTTGGAATATGATCTCTGGCTTCTGCATGGATGTTAATGTGCAAATGTAACTTTGAAACTTTTTAAATGGTGTTAGTTTTGAATGCATTTCTGTTTGGATGGATGTCTTCAATAAAAGTGTGAATAAACCTTAACTTGTGGTGTGCATGGCTATCAGGTCACTATGGTTTGATTTATACTGGAGTGGTGCTACACTACATTAATCAGTGTAATTGTGGTGGTTTAACTTCATCAATTGACTTGATTTGCAAAAACATGCTTAACCTTAGTTTGCTAGCAAGTGCTTTAACATATGGCATAC